CTTTATTTTATTTTGCATTTTAGATGTCTATTGATATGTGGTCTATTTGAAGAGCAAACCTTTTTTCAAAAACGACTACTCGACTTTCCAGGCCGACTGGTTCCTTGCGGTAAGAATGGATGACGCCCACCAGACCGTAATTTTGGTATTATTTTTTTGTACGCGGCCAAATAATTGTATAACCACTTTACCAATCAAGCGGTTGACACAAAACCGTAACACAAAAAAAAAAAATGACGCAATGGATAGAATTGAGAAAAAGTACGATTTGATCGTAGATTCCCACCGCAGTCGGGGCGAGATTTTCTCGCACCGTACGAACATAGTCAAAATTTAGCAAAATAAGCCATATTTTAGCGGGTTAGGAGATAGTTTCGAGTTAATTTTGGTTAAGTTACTTTCAATACAAAACAGCGTTAAACTAATAACAGGCGAAAGTTGATCCATAGATGGTCACTAGTTGCAAACTGCATTTTCTCTCAACCACCTGCAACAACCTGTATAAAATGGTGTTTCACGTGACCCGGATAATGTCTCCTGATATATATTAAAACGTGCTTAACGAAAACTCGTAAAGACTGGCCTGTTTTTTATAAAAGATTGAATAATAATAGATAAAGGGAAGACAATATCAGAATAGGATGATTTATCTAAATATGAAATAATTAGCTTGTCTCCTATCGCCAATTGAGTTTTTTCACAGGGTTCCAACAATTCGGATTAAACGGTTATTATTAGAAAATAAATAAAATAAACCCTCGCGGTGACCGCGGTATTTTAAATTGGTAAGCACGATGCTGCCCTGAGTATGTGATCCAAAAAGTTTGTTAAGCTGTATTTTAATGTAGTATTAGAACAACTAATTATTTTTCAATCCATTATAGCATTCCGGTAAAAGAATTTCATGCACGCCTATATTTGTTAATGGAAATTATGCGTAGAAGAAAGTATTTAATAGGGGAATGATAATTAAGATACATAAAAACAACATGCATATGAATCTCGCACCCTTCCACATTCCCATTCAATCGCTCTCTCTCCCTCACTCTCTCTCTATCCTTTTTTCTTTCTCTTGTTGCTCTTCTCAATTTCTGCCTCTCAGTTTCTATATTTTTTCTTTTTTTCTCGCTCTCTTTTTGGTCTTTTGCTCTTTATTTCGGTTTCTATGTTTCTATCTCTTTTTTCTTTCTCTTTCTCTTTTCTTTGGTCTCTTGCTCTCTCTCAATTTTTGCCTCTCTGTTTCTATATTTTTTCTTTTTTCTCTCGCTCTCTTTTTGTCTCTTGCTCTTTATTTCCGTCTCTGTTTCTATCTCTTTTTTTCTTTCTCTTTGCTTTGGTCTCTTGCTCTTTACCTCTGCTCCTCTATTTCTATCTATTTTTTCATTCTGTCTCTCTCTCTCTCTCTCTCTCTCTCTCTCTCTCTCTTTTTTTTTTTTCTCTTGCTCTCAATTTCTGCCTCTCTGTTTCTATATTTTTTCTTTTTTCTCTCGCTCACTTTTTGGTCTCTTGCTCTCTATTTCCGTCTATCTGTTACTATCTCTTTTTTCTTTCTCTTTTACTTTTCTTTGGTCTCTTGCTCTCTATCTCTGCTTCTGTATTTCTATCTACTTTTCCATTCTTCCTCTCTCTCAATCTAACGTTTTCTTTTTGAATCATGCTCTTTCTCTCTATCAGTTTATTCATATCTAATTTTTCTTTTTCTCTCTTTCTTAGCTAACTGTCTATATTTCTCCATCAACCTCTTCGTTTCTCTATTTATCTATATGTGAATATTTCTGTTTTGCTCCCTCTACATATATTTACACCTTCTCTCTAATCTCTCTCTCTCTCTCTCTCTCTCTCTCTCTCTCTCTCTCTCTCTCTCTCTTTCTTCATTTAAAATTAATTGTAATTTTTTCTCACAAATTTTGTTTTTTGTTTTTTTACTGTTTTTTGTTATTTACTACTACGTTCCGATTGTAAATAATAATGTTAGTTTTTACGTAATTAACGTGTAATTTACTAGGAGGCTAAAGGATCATTTTTATTGTTATATAAAGCAGATTATTGAATGTCTTTTGTATTATAACGTTTATACGTAAATTATAACACACGTTGGATGTATGATAGGTCCAAGAAACCTAATTCTGCGTGGCACCAAAAACGCTATCAATCAATCCCTTGGTCTCTGCCTCTGTTCCTTTGTCACTTTTTCTGTTTTTTTATTTTTGGTAAGATAAGTTTATGTAATGTTCAAGTGTAAAAATCAACAATTTAGATGTAGATTAGTTAAAAGTCTATTCAGTTATCATAAAAGCATTGTTAGGGCTATTAGTTAAAAAGATGCGGTCTTTTGAGTCTGTGTTAAACCCTGTTCGCTAGAACTACTGAGTTGATAACTAACATTCGAACAATAACTGTTAAACTGATGACCAAAGGAAACTTTTTCTTAAATTGTACAATTTTAGAGCCTTTTCTAAAGCAGCAGAATTTCTTTCGAACCATTTGAACCATCATTTGTATGAATTAACGTCGTTTCTTTACGTCTTCTTCCATAGTCGATTTCATAGATTTAATTGTTACCTTTCTTAATATATGAAATGAATGTCAGTTCTGATTTTGTGTAATTTGTTCCTGTTTTATTTATTGCAATTCTCTAAGTAGAGTATTTTCTTGAAATTCGTACTCTTCTTATCAATCCTCCGTTTTATTTTCTTTTTCAATTATTCGGAGAGAATTGTATACTGCTTCCTCAGTATCGACCTAATTCATATTTTTTCTGAACTTAAGAATTGAAGGTACATCTTTGTTCGTTGCCCAAATAATAAGGCTGGGGTAAACTTGGTGATGCTGTGAATTGTACTCCTTGACTGTTCAGTATGTCAGTTTATGACTGTCAGGCGGTATTACTCTACTGATAACAATCAGTACGAATAAATAAATATGTCTGTACTTATAGTAGTACATACTTAGTATAATTACATTTTATTTTTTCATTTCCCCCTGCCAATTAGGCAATTGTAACTACAGAGAAGGAAAAAATTAGATTTAAAATTCTTTCAAAAAAAATTTTTTTTGGACGTTTCAACGTCGAAATTGGAGTTTTTTTGTAATTTCGAAAAGAGTGATAAACGTGATAAAAATTGTTGAGGGGTAAAATTGAATCTGATTCCATTTAAAGAGGATTGTTTAAAAGACAGAGATAATTTTGTTACTATTAACATTATAATTATTATTTTTAATCTTATATTGAATACAAAAAGCTCACGATCTCGGAATAGATAAATTATTTATTTTGACGTTCCATGAATATTGCACTTTTTTTAAATTGATAAGAGGACAGTCAATATATCATAATAATGACTCATATTTATTGCAATAAATCATTCGTAAGAGCGTTTTTTTCATGTACAGTGATAAAAAAAGGTTAAAATTCAATCCTTGGTGCTCGAAACGTTACACAATCGAAAGAGAATAGCACTTCTGAGTACCGTTTTGGTCAGTGATATCACTTTGATCGCTTTGACTCGCCGATATTTCGAAATATCGCTCTTTTTTTCTTTTCGTTCAAGAATGCCAGCGTGATTTTTGCGCTAGATAAAATTTAATAAAATTGTTGTTTATAATAGGTGTGGTCTTACGTTGTGTCCCTTTCGCACCTAGATAGACTGGAAGGACGAATTAATCGAAACTGGAAATACATAAATCAACTTTATAAAGCTTTCCCATTGACTCGTATCGGTCGAAACAAGCAGGATTTGATAATAGCGGTTTATTTGCGCGAAATTCAAATGGAATGCTTGCCCAATGTCAATTACAAACCGCTCAAGAATATTATTCTTTAGAAAACAAAAAATCAAGATTTATTCGCAAATAATTGTACAAAATCTGTAAAACAAAATGGAAAATGCACATCGTCTGATAAATTCCCATGTTGAATCTAAACAAGAAGTAATTGTTGAAAATCAATATCAAAGATATAATTAATTATATGAAATTACTTCACAACATACTTAAAAGGTTAGATAAGGAGATTGTTTGATTATTTGATAAATCTTTTTTTTTATCGATTTCAATGACAAATCCGTGCTAAACAATGCCATAAAGCATGGAAATCTTGCAATAATTAATCTTTTATATCAATACACAAATATATTGATTATATTTATGTAATGGCTACCTAATTGTTCAAAGGAGAAAAATATATCCCAAGTATTCGCACAAATATTATATATTTATTTAAGGTGTATGGAAATATCTAATTTATTATTTAACCGGTTCCCGGATGGAGTGAGCGAGAAATAGTTTTCCCTGCAAAATATATTTTTTCTAATGATAAATTATATGCACCTGTCTTTCAATGATCTAGCAGAGCACTGCAGAATTTATTTCAATCGTGCATTTTTTAATCTTTTACTAGATAAAACCGCAAAGAATCATAAGACAAAAAAATCACCGTTCGAGAAAAAAGTCCAAATAAATTTAAAAACGATTTAGATATTTAACGATTTAACGACTTACAAATTTAAAAACTGTAGATAGGCATATATCTAGAGAAAGATAATCGGCGGGAATTTCAAAAAAGGCGAGAATTGCCAAATTTCAAAAAATTGGACGAATGCAATTTACATACAAGCATATAGACGATAAAGCCATATTTAAGCATAGAGATAAATGCAATAATATATTAATACATTCATTATAATGTATGTAATTTTAAAAAATACTATAAAAATTATTTAGGTAAATAAAAAAAAAGTAAATAATTCGTACGAGAATGTTGAACAATAGTGAATATAAAATGATTTCTTTTATGACAATTGATTTCAAGTAAAGTTAGAAAAATTGGAATGTCATTTTTGTCAATAATGTAAAAATCGTGTGTTGATTGTCATAGATGAATCTATGAAGACAGCACTGAGCCGGTCAATCGTCTCTTTTCGTCCACTCTCAAATCGTCAAAAATTGGTAAACCGCCCTGATTTTTTCGCAATTTCTTAACCAAGGGCTTATTGACTTACTTAAGAGTTGTCCCCATACTGGTGGCACCTGGCAAACATATCCGACCGGTCAGGATACCCTCCGATGGTCGACGTTCATGTCTGACTGGGCCGGGAATCAGGATAAGCCCTCCACCGCTGCCGATCTGCCAGGGGGGAAGCGCATGCGTGTCAAACGCCCGCTTCCGTTTTTATTTAAATCAAGGCTTTTATTGTTCTCTTTGTTTTTTTTTACCTCTTACCCCATATCAAAAGCTTCGAAAATTTAAAATAAGAGGGAAAATATTACACAAGGAGATTGGAGGATAAACAGGAGAATGTATTATATTGCTGAAGTCTTCAATACCGGATTATACGGTATTTGCAAGTGATTTTTTTTATCAAACATAGAAGAACACGACAATATGCAGTTCTGCTTATGAGTATGGCGAGGATTCAATGTGAACTTTAGACAATTCATGACACCAAAACCACATCGTTGCTATGTAAACAATTATAAATGACTGTGAATTGTTCATGGGTTTATTTATTTACATAGTTATAATTAGGTAAAATATAAGCGTGGTACTTTTCTAACAAGGTAGAAAATATTAGGTTTAAACAAATTCAAAGGAAGTGGAAAAATCTCAATCTTCTTCCTGCCGTGTCCGCGCTACTCTTCGATCTTTTATTACGATCAGACATACAATGAAATTAATTTGTAATTCGATTGTTTGTATATTTGGAAAAAGGCTGAAATTTTTTCACGCCCTATGAATTTCCAAAAATTAGATTTAATAAATTCATAAGCCAGCAAATCTGTAAATGTCTCGTTAATTTGTAATTCGATTGTTTGTATATTTGAAAAAAGGCTGAAATTTTTTCACGCCCTGTGAATTTCCAAAAATTAGATTTAATAAACGCGTAAGCCAGCAAATCTGTAAATGCTTCGTTAATTTGTAATTTGATTGTTTGTATATTTGGAAAAAGGCTGAAATTTTTTCACACCCTGTGAATTTCCAAAAATTAGATTTAAGATGTGCATGAGCCAGTAAATCTGTAAATGTCTCGTTGCTGAAGTTCAAACGCCATGTTGCACCAGCGTATTTAACACATAACAAACATATTTGGTTTGTTCTCGTGTAATAAAAAATTGAAGAACGAGAAGAAGAAAAAAATCAACGCATCCTGCGAACTTTCCCTGTGAAATTTTAACAATTCGTACTGACGCGAAGCATTCTAAATAATACAAATAATAAAAATAAAAAGTAAAATTCATCGTAAAGTTTATAAATATCGATTTTAATAAAAACAGAAGAACAGATAGAAGATGGTAAAAATTCAGTATTTCCTGCGAACTTTAGCCGAATCATACTAAATTCAAACCCTTCCAATCCCCGAAATGTTTTTTCCCTATTGTAATTGATCATAAATAACTATATAATTTAAAAATATAAGAAAAGAATGGATTATCGTCAAACAGCCAAATCAAATCAGTCGTTAAGAGAAGAACAAGCCTATACGCAATTCCGCTTAGAAATTTTATAATTTTACACTCACCTTCAACATTTTCATAATTCCTACTGACGTCTAGAATACCGTAAATTCTTTTGTATTTGTAATCGAAAGAAGAAGAAAAATCGAAGAAAAGAATGGAATATTTTCATCACAGTAGATGAATTATAATGTATGTATGTTTATAATAAATTTATAATATGTATAGATAATCCATTCTTTTCTTCTATCAAAATAAAAATAATCGTAATGCACGCCTAGACGCAATTTTACTTATAAATATGAAAATTCTAGTCCCCTTGAACTTTTTAATAATTCCTATAGACTTTTTTACTTATTTTTATATTATATTATTATTACTTATTTTTTCGAATATGGAAGATTAGTACACAACAGAGCAGTTGTAGAATGCAATTATTTCAATTCTACTTTCCCCATGAAATTTTACCAATTCTTACTGACACCTAGCCTTCTTGATAATACAAATATAACGTAAAATTGGTCGTAAATATTACAAATAATCGATTTTCTCAAAAATAAAAAGGCACGAAGAAGAAGGCGAAAATTCAGTATCACCTGTGAACTTTATACAACTCAGACTTTATACAAATCGTCGAAATGTACCTGTTTTTCACTGCAATTAATCATAAGTAATGAATATTAAATAAAATATTATTGAAAAAAGAAGAAAATAATGGATTATCTTCATCAAAGTCAAATCAAATCGATCGTAAAGCAGAGAACACGTCTAGATGCAATTTGGCTTAGAATATGAAAATTCTACACTCACCATGGACGTTTTGATAATTTCTACTGACGTTTAAAATACCATAAATTCATTTGTATTTATTGTAAAAATCGGCAGGATCGAAAATAGAAGAAGCGCGAGGGAGAGCTGTTTTGGACATTTTACCTATGTAATTTGACCAATCCGTACTGACACCCACCCTTCTAAATAATACAAATGTACCGTAAAATCATCCTAAATTTTAAATCCATTTTACCAAAAATAGAAGAACACGAAGAAGAAGATGGTGAAAATTCAGTACTTTTTGCGAACTTAAGTCAACTCATATTGGCCTCAAACCCTTCAAATCGCTGAAACTTACCAATTTTCCGTTGTAATTATCATTTAGAAAATAGAAGAAAATGGTATATCCAGGTATATAAATGGTATATACCTATATAAAGGTAGTCCAAAATGGAATATCTTTATTGCTGTCAAATCATATCATTCGAAATAGAACATGTCCTAGATGCAATTCTTTCTACTTTCTTCTACTGACGTTTAAAATACCATTAATTCGTTCGATTTCTTGTAAAACTCGGCTGTAGTTGAAAAAAAGAAGACACGGCATGTTCAAGAAGAATTGGTCTTCTCTCCCCGTTTTTCACCCACTAGTACGAATATCCAGCCTTTTAAATAGTAGGAAATGTAAAATAGAAGAATGGAGCTTATGGAAGAGCTGTTGAGAAGAAGGGTAAAAATATCTTCTTGCCTATTTCAAAAAAAAAATTTGGCCAATTTTTACTAGCATCGAGTCTATCATCCAGTCAAAATGTGCCACAATTCCCTTATAATTTTTAAAAAATTGAAGAAAAATCTCTTGCGGAGATGTTGAAGAATTTTATTTAATTCTTCTCTCACAGTGAAATTTCACAAATTCATTTTGACATCAGTCCTTCTAAATAATCGAAATGCGACGTAAAACTCACTTTAATTCCATTATGTTTCGTGGTCCTAATTGACCAAATAAATTCTTTTCAATTAATTAATCTTTAAGTAAGGTATTGGTTGAGATAAAAAAGTCAGTGTCACGAGCGGGATTCGAACCCACAAACTTCCGCTAAATACGCCGCTGCTTTACCACTTGAGCTCTCGTGACTTCGATCCACTCGGACACAACTTCCCACCTTTCGAATTTTCCCTCCTTTTTGCCATTTTTCTATTCGAGTGGATCGAAGTCACGATAGCTCAAGTGGTAAAGCAGCGGCGTATTTAGCGGAAGCTTGTGGGTTCGAATCCCGCTCGTGACACTGACTTTTTTATCTCAACCAATACCTTACTTAAAGATTAATTAATAGAAACTCACTTTATTTTATAAACATCGATGTTAAAAGAAATAGAAGAATGGAGCTGGCAGAATGCTCAGAAAGATAATAAAAAACCCATTTACATGAGACAGGATAATATATAATGAACATATCTATATTCGCTTGGTAGGTTTATGTTGCAAACTTCTACCCACCCAACGGCTTTCTTCTAAAAATATTTTGTAATTGTATTATGAATTATTTCACAGTCTTACAGTTTAAAAAACATAAACCTGACACATACTAATAAGCTACAGTACAAGGCGATTTTCTTTCTTCCGAACTCATCTCTTCATCCTCGCGAATACCCCTCGGTTTATGGTATAATCATGCATTAATAATTCAATTTTAGCCATTTATAATTTAAATTACACAATACATGATAAAAGATTACAATACGACACAAAAGCATAATGACAAGTAGTACAGTTTAAAAGTATGCTTTCTTTAATCGCTGAAGACTTTTACCAATTCCTACCGAAGACGTGCCTTTCTAATCTCTTAAGTATGCCTTAATCCCATTGTAATTACTTATAAATTAAGATTTAGTAAAACGCGTTCAATATGTTGGGTATACCAAATAGAGGCGCTACAAGAGAAATTTTCGTGAGAACATTTCTGTGCTACTTCAGCAGTTTTAAAAACTTATGCCGACAACGTATATAAAATAATAAATAGCGGCGGCGCTGTATTTCTGCTTAGCAAGCTTTCATAATAAACATAATATCGTGATTAATAAGAAATAATAATGTGATAAAAAATAAATGGCACTTTTTTTCTACACGTCTTAACTTTTAACCGCCAAAATCGACACCACGTCTTCCTATTCGCTCGAACATTCTTTAATTAATAGTTCATTTATTTCAAATACATTAAAGCATAAAGTACTTTTCTTTACGTTTATGAATGAACTGAAACACGGTAAAACTTTTAAATAAGAAACCCAAGCTAGTACTTTTTCGAAATGAATATGAACCTGGGCACAACTTGGAGCTTCCTTCATATAAAGAAGAAAAATACTCGGGCTAGTGCTTTTTGAAGAAGACCGTAGGTGCCTTGGTCAAATAGCCGTGCTTTTCTTGCACTTGAAAGAGGCTAGTGATTTGTTTTCTTCTAGTAAAGAGGAATCATCAAGTTTTCTTCACATAAACATGGCACACGATAATNATCTGAGTTTTGTGACTTTTTAACAAAGGAGAACCTGGAGAAAATCTAGCGTTTCCTTCCAATAAAGAATTTCAACACAAATTAATGCCGTTATCAGATAAAGAACTTACGATAGCGCTTATTTTCTAACCAAGAAGATCCTTGGTACAAGTTAGCAGTTACTTTTTTGAATTGAAGAAAACCTGAGTACAAATTGTGAGTCCTTCAAACAAAGAATCTCGTTCAAGCTAGTGTGCTTCTTTAAAATGATGAAGACAACACGCAGAAATGATTCTTGCAAATAAAGAAAAACATTGGCTTTTATTGCACTTTATTGTAAATAACGATGTCATAAAAAAAGAAGAGCACAACAGTGTCATGTTTGAAGACAGTGATA